TGTGGTCACCTTGTTCATGAAACTCTATACCAGTCGAAGTAAATTCCATTCGCCAGACACAAAGCAATTCAGGAATGCAAACGTGATTGAAATACCTGTTGAGGATGCAAAGATAGCAACTCACATTCCTGTATTTCTTGGTGGTTAAAACCACGCGGCGGTCTTTTACTTTTTTCAGCAGCTTTAGACGTGGCTTAAGCTATAGTGACAATTTCATTTCAGTTGACGGACTTTTGATTTTACCCTAGCTTTAAGCATTTTGGGCGATGGGGGTCGCACCCAATCACTTTATGATTCACAAAAGGCTACTTACCTCGGCGAAAGAGTATTAAGTTCTGGTGTTCATTATGAGTCATAGTGGTTACAAAGTGGAGCAGTCAAGGCAACGCTACAAGTTGTTGACTGCAATTTTGGTAAAGCATCCATAAAACATGCCCAGATCGTACTGTCTCCTCTCAACTGCGGTCTAGAAATTTGGTCTGATATCACGTTTCCTTCTTATATATTCGTATATATATATATACGGGAACGCAGACACGATGGTTGCCGATATCAAACACCTCAAGGCGGAAGGCGAAAAACCAATGCTCTTACAAAACCAAGGATGGTTAGCGTACGCTATTTGGATGTTCTCCAGTTCTGGTATGATGTGTAATTAGGGTTTGATTACATTTCCATTGTATGCCTTTGCCATTTCCAAAAAAAATTGTTACTTAGGGTAAACTGACTTAGAAAGGTGTCAATAACAGAGCCAATTTGATTGGGGCACCAAAAACACTCACTTAACTTAGCTGGGAAGAATTTGGTGATTTCTGAGAAGGGGTAACGGTTTTTGACCAAACATTTAATGTGGAACTTGGTGACGCCCCATTAAATGTCGTGCTAGTGCGTGCATAAGTTCTCACTGAAGAAGAGGTCTGCTTCAAGGAAGGCCACTAAGAGGACTGATCTTTGATGCATCTGTTTATTCTTTTTTCGCTGCCATGGCTACCAGTGTTTTGTTGCTATGACCTTTTTTCTTCGTTGTCATTTGAATAAATATTTCCTTGCTGGCTTAACAAAGCTTCACTTGCTTGACGTGCTGCACACCTCTCTATCCTATTGAGTGAGGCAAACAAGTTCCAAGAGTGCGGTAAAATAATATTTTGCTAATTGACTAAGTTGGTCATCGCCGCGTCCTGCTCGTCTCAGTTTTAAGTCAGAAAAGCGACTTTGATAAGGAGGTATAGAGAAATAGTTTGGCAAATAATCCCACTTAACAATGCCTTCAAAAATACATAAGTATGGATACTCTACGGTTGTTGCTTGATTCCCGATTTCGATAATCGGCTACCTGAGGCACCGCCACTGTACCTCTTCTGGCTGGCTGGCCCTGGGCCATGGAAACAACCCACCTCATAATGTGCGACGACAATGCGCACTATACCCAAATAGTGCGTTTACTTTTCAAGATAGTCACAAGAATCTACATTTCATTTTTCAAAACCAATATTAGTTCAAACGGGCATGCGAGAAGAGAAACACTTGTCGATGTGAATCGCCTAAACTCCTCTCCTATCAAACATGGTTCCGTTATTTCAAATGTTCAAAATTCCACCCAGTGAACGGTAGAAAAAGAGCACTTGAACGGCATTTTGATATTATGTGAAAAGTCTTGACAACTCGTGTAAAGAAGGGAACGAATGACTAGGTGGTGAGCACAAAGCGTCGAACGGAAACCCATAGTATGATTAGATACCTATACTGTACTGCTCCTCCCTCAAGCGTAGTAATTACGCCATTTCCACTACTTTGCATTGCAGTCTCTTCCAAACTTGAGATCGTGGCATCCGCAAAACAGGCAAGGCCCGTCCAAGTACCCTGGATCACCTATGCATAGTTGGGCAATCAAAATGACTGCCACGCTTCCACATATTTTTGATTAAAATGTGGGAACTTTTGCTGTAAAATATGTGGGAGAACAAGCTTATTAGGCCTGGTTGCACAATTCGCAAAAGATTTTTTGATAATGTTCTACAATCGTTTATACCTTTGAGATACTTTGTGGGAATTCTCCCGCCTAAGACCTGTACTGTGTATTATCAAATCCCATTCACTAACTGCTGCTCCTTTTAACCAAAATTCATCGAACTCAGTGATTAATTTCCAACGTGCAGAATGAGTGTTTAAGCAGGTGACTTTTCATCCTACCATTTTCGTGCGGATCTGTTCTGAGAAGCATGCGAAAGAGCGAGCAAAAGTGGAAAACTCTGTAAGAAATACGGCATGCGAAATATCGTACCTACGAGGACGGTAACTAGTATGATGTGACCCTCAGCCGGACGATTATTGCCTTTGCTAAGTACCGTGACGCTTGACGGCGAAGGACTACATGTAGCAGTTCAAAACCCGCGAAACAAATTACGGCAGTTTGTTCAAACCTGCTTCTAAGTCATCAACCGTAGATATTCGGGTGTATGGTCAAAATATCTGGGCGCTACAATAGATTGAGCTTGCAAATCTATGGTAGCGCTGCGAAAGAGGTCTTACGCAATTTTTGTTCTTGCGATTCTACGGAAAATAGGACAATGGTACAAATTACCACCACTCAAAAGTGGTTGGAAGGGTTGTCTACGATAAAGTATACTGCAACTGAATTTCCAGAATGCCCATGATTATGGAGCAAGGAGCTATTTTTGGTGTCTCAAGGTGGAAAAGAGGTCGTCGTATCATTTCTGCAATGCTGCAATGGTCCAAAGGAGAATCTATCAAGCGAGGCGGAACCAGAAGGTCATGTATTTTGGGATGAATGCAAAGCAGTATGTAAGAATTTGTTAGCAGTTGTGGCTAGATAGCCCCAAATCTGCACAGATCATTCACAATTGGGGGCAACTTTGAAGAATTTTATGCATACTTCAATTCGCAAAATCTATACGACATCTGAAATAGCTGATGAATTAAACCGGACTCACTAAAAAAGCTTTTGGTCCCTACATTCTGTTTTTCTTATGGAGATAAAATGTTTGCGTTAAAATGGTCGTGGTATGACTACCAGAAAATGCGGCTCAAGGCGCATTATTTTAGTAGCAACTTCAGCTAACTTGATCGAATAAATGCGCAAACTCTTTGCAAGAGTTGATGTGAATTATTAAAATAACGCAAGGGTAAACATGCTCAAAATGAAACCACATTAGAAAACCTAATAAAGCAGATCAAATGAAGGAAGGGTTTTCTGGGTCCTTTGTCTTGCGAGGTCTTCTTCAATCTTCACTGATGTTTCTAGAATGGTGATCGACGTACGTGATGAAGACGCCTTTAATCCATGAAGTGGTTCTTCTGGATTTCTGGAATACCCATTGTCAGTACCAGTTCCTAAAAATGCCAGCGAGTCCTCCTCTTTGCTCTTAAATTGAGCTATTGATGGCCCTGTCAAACA